GAGGCAGAGGGAGGTAGATCTCTGCGTTCAAGGTCTACAGAGGTCTCCTTGGTCTACAGAGCAAGTTCCAGGACAACCATGTCTGCACGGAGAAACCCTGTCTCAGAAAAACAAAACAAAACAAAACAAAAAAACAGAAGAAAGAAAAAAATAGCTTTTCTTATATAATATATCTTGAATATGGTTTCTACTCCCTCCATCCCTCCCAGTTCCCCTCCAACTCCCCTCCTATCTGGATCCACTCCCTTTCTGTCTCTCATTGGAAAACAAACTGGCTCCTAAGGGATAGAAATATAGTAATATAATATAACAAGGTAAGATAAACAAAACACTGGAATAAGACAAAACAAGGAGACAGAAGAAAAGGCACAGAAACTAGAGACCCACTTTTTCCACACACTCAGGAATCCCATAAGAAATGCTAAACTTGGCCAGGCGGTGGTGGCCCATGCCTTTAATCCCAGCACTCTGGGAGGCAGAGCCAGGCAGATCTCTGTGAGTTCGAGGCTAGCCTGGTCTACAGAGTGAGTTCCAGGACAGGCTCCAAAGCTACACAGAGAAACCCTGTCTGGAAAAACAAAAACAAACAAGCAAAAACAAACAAACAAAAAAGCTAAACTGGGAGCCATAATATATGCAAGGACTTGTTGTAGACCCATGCAGGTCCTGTGCATGCTGCCTGCTGCCTCAGTCTCTGTGAGTTCCTGAGCACTTGGATCACGTTGCTGTAGAGGACTTTATTTTCTCCATCCCCCCATAGCTCTTACACTCTTTCTGCCTCCTCATCCACAGGGTTTCCTGAGCCCCGAGAGGAGGGATTTGAAGGAGACATCAGGTTTAGGTCTGCATGTTCCAAGGCCTCTCACTCTCTGCCTAATGTCTGCTTGTGGATCGCTGTATTTATTCCCATATGCTTTAGGAGGAAGCTTCTCTGATGATGGCTGAGCAAGGCACTGCTCTGCTTCCCTAGCTGGAGTGGCCTGTGTGTTCACAGCTGTTTTGATTTTTGAGACATGATTTAGTATCCCAGGCTAGTCTCAAGCTCCTCTTTCCCAGGCTAGTCTCAAGCTCCTCTTTCCCAGGCTAGTCTCAAACTCCTCTTTCCCACTACACGTTTGTGCAGCTCAACAGACTGTATTTTAAAGGATTTTCTAATGTACTGGATAAGGCGTGGAGGAAGACTGGCCAAAAACAACGTCAAGGTTTTGGCCTCAGAAACAGGAAGAGTGGATTTATAGATGGGGAGAGATAGGGAGGAGGTTTACAGAGAGACATTTTGAATTTGGAATTCATCTTGTTGGTCATATAGAAATGTCATATAATGCCTGAGTTATGAATCTTGGACCCTTTTAAAGAAATAATTTATTTGTTTTATGTGCATTGGTGTTTTATTACCATATGCATGTCTATATGAGGGTGTCAGATCCCCTGGAACTGGGGTTACAAACAGTTGTGAATTGCCATGTGAGCACTGGGAATTGAACTCTGGTTCTTTGGAAGAGCAGCTAGTGCTCTTAACCACTGAGTCATCTCTCCAGCCTTGAATCCTGGGGGGTGGGAGGTGTTAAAACTGTGAGACTGAATGAAACCTGTGAGTGAGTTGGTTTCAGCAGAGGAGAGATCTAAGGTTCAAACTCTGAGGCACATCATCATTTAGGGGACTGGGAGATGAGGAGGAATGTCTTCAGGGGATTGAATGGTGAGGCTAGTGAGGCAGGAAGATGACTGATGAGGGGTAGTAAGTACATAAGCTACCAGTGAGGACGATGTTTGAGGAAGGAATACTGTCCAGTCGGCACAATCTGCCTCGGTCTTCCCAGGATGCCAGCGTAGCTTCAAAAGGTCTCATGACAGCCTGCCACTGGGTTATCAGATTGCCTAGATAAGGAGAGTGTTTTGATTAATAGGCATATCCACGTTTGCTTATATAGATCAGAAGTAAGGCATATTAAAATTAGAAGAGACTTCAGGAACATATTTAGAAAATATAACACTCAGGTAGGCACAATATCATTTGGGAGTAATTTTTTATAGCTAAACTAATGAGAGTGAAGGCTTTGAGAGAATTATGGAGTGGCAGGAGAGAAAAGGTACCCAGAGAAAAGAACACCGGAGCCAGGACTCTGGGATGTCACACTGTGCCTATTTTCCTCTGCCTCGCTGCCTCCCTTAACCTGAGGACACCATAAGAACCGATCTGGTTAATTGAGGGCAGGAGTGTACATGGAGAGCAGCTTCCTGTGCCAATGTTTTCTCCACCTCTGGCTCTTTTTGTTTTGTTTTTTGAGACAGGGTTTCTCTGTGTAGTTCTGGCTGTCCTGGAATTCACTCTCTAGATCAGGCTGGTCTCGAACCAGAGATCCTCCTCCATCTGCCTCCTAGGTGCTGGGATCAAAGGCATGTGCTACCACCACCCAGATACCCTTGGCACTTTAATGCAGTTCATTCCATCACTGATGGGCTGAGAGGCAGGGTAGTGTAATACTTCTGTACTCACCTGACCTGGTTTCCAATTAGCAACTCACAATTGCTTATTGAGGCCCTATAGTCAATCCTCCAAACTCAGTTAATTTCTGTATTAGGGTCCTCTAGAGTCACAGAACTTATGGAATGAGTCAATCTCTCTCTCTCTCTCTCTCTCTCTCTCTCTCTCTCTCTCTCTCTCTCCACATATATACATATATATGGGAATTTATTGGAATGACTTACAGTCTGCAGTCCAACTAATTGGACAATGGCTAGCTGTGAATGGAAAGTCCAAGAATCTAGTAGTTGCTCAGTCCCACAAGGCTGGATGTCTCTGAAAGTCTTCAGTAGATGCTGGAATCCCAAAGAAGTAGTCTCCAATGCCAGTGAAGGAATGGATACATTAGCAAGGTGAGGGCAAGCAGGCAAAGAAGAAGAAAATCTTGCTTCTTCTATGTCCTTATATAGGCTTTCAGCTGAAGATGTGGCCCAGATTAAAGGTGTATCTTCATACCTCAAGATCACGATCAAAAAGCCTATGTCTTCTAGCCTCAAGATTTGGATTAAAGGAGTGTATCTTCCTACCTCAAGATCTGGGGAGCCATAGGTGTGCCCTCCATTTCTGGATGTAGTTCATTCCAGATATAGTCAAGTTGACAACTAAGAATAGCCATCACAACTTCCCATAGCCCAAAGTGTTACCAGAATTCTCCCCGGAGCTCACATCCTCTGCACTGGTAAGGACTGATGCCACACAGTTTGTGACAGACTGATCAGAACCTCAGTATGAATGGCTGAGTATACAGAGGTAGGTTTGGTTCCTGAATTATTTTTAACCATTTAATAAATAACAAAAAGGGGCAGTGAGAAGCTGTAATAAGTAAAGGTACTTGATGCCAAGTCTGATGACCAGAATTAGGTCCCTGAAATCTACAAGATAGAAGAGAAGCAACTATTGCAAGTTGTACTCTAACCTCCATGAACATGCCATGTCATGCACGCATGTACACACACACAGACACAGACACACACACACACAGATACACAAGTAAATAAGTAATGGAATCTTCCCCCCCCCCCACCAGAGAGGGTTTCACTGTGTAGTTCTGGAGCCTGTCCTGGATCTCGCTCTGTAGACCAGGCTGGCCTCGAACTCACAGAGATCTGCCTGGCTCTGCATCCCGAGTGCTGGGATTAAAGTTGTGTGCCACCACCACCTGGCAGTAATGGAATATTTTAAAAGAAATAACAATAAACACAATAAAGAAAAAAAATCACATTTAAACTTCAGAAATTTATAAGGCTGGAGGTGAGTTGTCTCTTTTTCAACCCAGTCCCGATCACATTCTCTTCTAGAGGAACTCATAGTAACTCTTTAGCATTTAGCCTTTTGAAGTCTTTCAATGTTAGGTAGAAAGAAAAATTGCCGTGGAGGGTATTATTTAAAAGAAACTGCTTTCTGGGATAGGGATGCGGCTAAGCTGAGGAGGTATAGCCTGTATGAAGGCCTGGCTTTTGGTCCCCAGCACCTCATCAAATCCGGGGTGGTGGTGCTTGCCTGTAGTTTCAGTATATGGGGGATCAGAAGAGGCAGGAAGATGGGAAGTTCAAGGTCATCCTTAGTTTCATAGCAATTGGCGGGTCAGCCTGAGATACGAAACTGTCTGCTGCTACTCACAGTGCTTGGGTCCTGGAACCCTGACTAGGGTGGGTGAGGGAATGAAGAAAGGAAAGAACACAAGACACACAGTAAAGCTGGGGTCAAGTGGGGTTCCGCTACCACCACCGCAAACCCTCAGTGTGTTTATTAGGGAGAGCGGATGGGAGGGGCTAGCTGGTGTCTACAGGCGAATAGTCTCGGCTGCAGTCATGCAGAGGAAGGAACGGCAGTGCAATCTTTGCACACACTGAACAATCCTCCACGAACACACACACACTCAGACTCCTGAGGAAAGCATTCCCACTTCTCTGGAGCCAGAGCCATGTGGGCAACAGCTTTGTCAATTTCCCATGGGTCCAAAGTCTTTGAGTCCTCATCATGACGTTGCCCGTGGAAAGAATACACATTCATTCTGAACTTCAGTCATTCATTCAGGGCTTCCCCTGCGCCCTACACTTAATCCTGCAAAAAACAAAACAAAACAAAACAAAAAAACAAAAACCACGTTACTTTGTAAGTCATCACTACAGTTCTTCATTTTCAGCAGCCACATTGTGTGTGTGTGAGGACACAGCATACATTGTTTAAATGATCCTGTCCTTATCGGCATGCAGGCTGTTTGGAACTTTTTCTATTATAAACGATGCCGCAAAGGTTTTGCTGGGCGATACATTTATCCCAGTGCTAGGATTTTGGAAGCCAGATAGATCCCTCATAAATCAAGGGGTATGGCACACTAGATGTAGATTTCAAAATATCATAGACACCACCAAGCTGTCTGTCCCCCCAAACTGTGCGCCAAACTTCCTCAACAGTGCATGGATGCACCTATTCCACACCCCACTAATAATTGGCCTCTCTCTGAAGATCTGCAAAGAGAGTCTGTCAGATGGAGGAAGAGCCAGATGAGAATGTGTATACACTGAATATACCTGACACCTTGTCGAGTCCCTAGGCTTATTCTGCTGACCTTGCTGCCCGAGGCTGGGTCCCCCTTCTCTCTGGACTCTGTAGGGAACCTGGCTGAGGGACAGTTGATGGGGGGCACTAACGCACTCTCTTTCACTTTGATTTAGAATCTGCTTCTGAGTCCATTGCTGCTCGGGATGGCATGTTCTGATGGCTGTAAACTCTGGGTTTGTGTTCTAGCTGGATCTAGGTAGGCGTTATTTCAGTGTTTATTCATTTCCACCTGGGAGTGTTTTCAGGCACGGATCGCTCACCTTAATCTTTAATTGTGGTCACAGAATCAAAGCCCCGCTGACAACCTCAGAGGCTCACTCGGATCCAAACACTCAAAAGTTTACAGGTTTTCACTCTACACGTGTATCGCAGGTGGGGGCTCCATTTCAGAACCCCGACTCCACCGCCTTGTCCCTGGTTTAAAATAAAATGCAAAAAGAAAGACAGGCAGTGAAGCCTGGGGCCCTTGGAAGCACCAATAATTTGCACGAGCAATAATGTCCACTTTCGTTTTTAAGACCACTTAATAGACTTCATTTCTCAAACCCAAACCACAGATTAATCTTTCCCAGCCAAGTTCTTGTAGAGGAACAGGCACAAATTTATTCTGAGGACTTCAGGCGGTAAAAATAATGTGTTTTTTTAATGGGTAGTAAAACCCCTGGGATAAAAGAACCTACACACTGAGTGGGTTTTTCCAAAGAAGAGCCATGTTTCTCTTTATTGAACTTTTGGTGTGTTTCT